GTTTTCCGCGGTCTACTGGGATTCGATGAAAGTTTGTTGGAGTCATTTATTTCTACAATTGTTTATCATGTTCCTCCTTAAAACTACTACTGATAGGCTCTTTATAACGAAGTAGTAACTTTTTTATCCTTTTTTTTTAATTATTGATCGCCTTTTTTTTACTATTACGAGTGGAATGAGAATGCATGGCGCGTGCTGAAAAAGGATCAATTAGCGCTGAAGATTCATGCTTATATGCTTTACACATCACCAGCACGGCGATGTCGGTGATGAAGGTGGATGGAACGAAAAATTGGTCGCCGATGGGAATGAACTTATCGTTGGGTAGATATAAAGAGCGCAGCATTGAAGAAAAAATCAGGGAAAATTTTAAAATCAGCGATAACGATAGGTTCTAGTGGCGTTCGGAGAAGACGTAGGGGTGGTCAGTTGTACACAAGAGGTGCAAGAAGAAAGAAAACGTCAAGAAAACGCAATGAGACCCCTTGTTTGACCGTTGATTTTCGCTCATGGACGGGCATCGGCAAAGGTGACGGACGTATGTGGGCGGGAGGCTTTTAGGGCGGAGCGCTTTTCAAGTACTGCTCAGCAACCAGCGCACCTTTCGTCGTGAAAGCGCCACCTCGCTTCCTTGGCAGCCAAGTAACTGCTTCGTGTGGTGCATATGCTTTCCCGATGCGCTCCCTCTTTATCGTAATCGCTTCCTTTGAAAGACTAGAAGAGGGAACCCCGTTTCTGATTTGAGCGAGTCACATTGGTGCTGACTCATCATCGTGAACGCTTTGCTCTGCCTTCGCGCTGAAACGGCTGGAATTCAAGGGTGAGCAACCCCAAAGGAATGCCCAGAGCGATCAAATATATCGCGTAGTGGATACGGTAAGAGAACGTCAAAATGCACGAGTGCACGATGACTCTTCACCCTATAAAAAAAGGAAGGCTTACGGCTAGCTGCAAAATTAGTTGTATCACCTCTGAAACTGTGAAAGTTACCACAATCTATTAATCTTTACTATTACCTCTTCGCAAGGTAAGGGTAATTGACGGCTATTCACCTTTAACTTGTACGCAGCAGTTTGAGACAGGGTGAAAATCGTGTCGAGTACGTGGTCGCAGAAGGTACGACCCCCCCCCCCCCCGAAATCGAGATCCTGGCACGACCCCCTCTAACAGAGCAAATTAATTCAATTAAAATAAATCCTGCAAAACAAATCAAAAAAATCCTGCAAAAAAAACATGAATAACTAAATCTCTTGCAGTCATCCATTCCTCCACCTTCATGAGAAGGGCGTATTTGAAGGCAGTACAAAGAATGAAAGAAAAAGTGCATCCCCGCAAAGAAGACTGCCACATGTGCGCACGCGCTGCAAAGGCACCTCCTCTGCCTATCGCTCGCTCCTTCTTGCTCCCTTAATCCCTTAAAGGCCCGCCCGCAGGTCAACTGGTGTGGGCTCTGCAACACAATGTATGTATCGGCAGTGGGCGGCAGTGAAGAAAAAAGGAAAAGAATCCGTCGAAAACGCTCAGGTTGAGGGCTCACTCACCTTCCTAATTGGCTGTGCTAAAGGAACGAGAGACTAAGCGCGAAGAGGAGAGTATGGAGGCGAGAGAGCGCATCAGATGAGAGAGCACCAGACAACGGCCTGATAAGAAGCTCGTTTGGTCGCGGCCGGCTGGGGGGGGTCCGCTGCAGCTCGAGCAGCTTACTTTGCAAGCCCAAAGCGTTCTTGTCGGTCGAATTCCGTGCACGTGAACGCCACATTTGTGATTGTCCCCTAGGGTTCTATACTTCTGACCGAAGAGAAGAGTTATACACGACCTCTGCCTGGGTTGTGCCTTAATACCTCGAGAATGACACTGTTGTTAGGGACCCTGTCGCAAAAACGACAACCGTGAAGGAAAAGCCCTGGGCAAATGAAGTTGTTCTTCAGGTTGTAGGAGTTACGAAATGCGTTTACTACAATGCAGCTTCTGTCAACTGGTCATGATCATATGACACCTTCGAATCGATTCTGCAACTTCGAGTGAGGTCGGATGCATGGCCTATACTCAGACAAAATTCGATGATGACGATTGCCCCTTTTCCTATTTGCTTTTGTTGGATGTTTTCTAAGACCATTCCAGCGTACCCTACCAACTATACACTTGCAATGGTGAAGAAGGGAGCGGATTTTCAGGTGGCCGGATCCGTCCTCGATACATACTCGACGCAGATATCTTCTCAACTAGGAAATGTAGAAGAAAGCTAAGAACCCATCAGAAAGCGCAAACCTTCCGCTTTCCAAAACTATCTTCCCTTTTTCAGGATCTTACAATATAAGAGATATATTGCTCTTGAAGTGGCAAAAACTCGCGTGAAAATTTCGGCCTCCTCGACATTTACTCGACGAAATTTGACAGACCCTATCTTTCTGCAAGGAAGGCTTCCAGAGCAATTTCGATGCTTGTTGGAAACGCGAAATCCAGCTCTATCTAACTCTACCTCAAGCTGCTTCAAAGGTTGTGAAATGGAGGAATGCAACCTTTTCATCGAGGGTGTAGATTCGGACGTTTTTTTTTGAAATTTCGGCAAATCTGACCCAGTGACAATCGCGCCGCAGCTGCCGTTGAATCGGCCGTTGATTGATCCACTCGGCTGTTGTGATATCATCTTGTCGATCTGGTTTTTTCAGATATTTTCATTTTCTGCTGCGCTATACCCTCTTACCTATCTGCTGTTACTGACCCCCAAGAGTACGACCCCCCATGGACCAGCCCAACAGGTACGACCCCCCTGTCGAGGATTTCCTCGACCGATATTCACCCTGCTTGGAACTCCGTGCGCGCAGTGAGCGGCAAAAGTTCCCCCTACACCGCATCCTTCTAAGATTATAAGTAGTACCTCGCCTGAAAAACATAATAAGAGAATGATTTTTACCTTCACCCATCCCTGAGGTCCGCTTTCTGTAAATTTCTCGGTAACAATGGGACACGTGAGACCGGCCAGCGTTCCGATTCCATTCGAAAATCCCATAAGGATGGCAGCATAACGAGGTGCAATATCCAAATGGTTCACGTTGAATCCTAAGGTTACACTATTGATAAACTCTTGATTGAATGTGCAATAAGTCCCCAACTGACCTGAGATAGCGAATCCTGAGCAACCGACGGCTAGCACTAGCGCCAAAACGGCCGTCGATTCCTTCTTTGTATAGGCGACGACAAGCATAAACGCTGCTTCACCCCCGAATCCTAAATTTACTGAATATTACCGTGTACTGTTATTGCTAACGCAGCGGTCTGTTGCGTGATATCGGGTTAATTCCGAAGCAAAAAAATTACCATAAAGAACATGCAATGGGTTAAGGCATGTCTAGAATCATTCAAGAAGCACTCCAGAATGATTTAGTCAAAAGAAAATGAGTGCGAGATGGAAGGAGGGAGATACCACGGCGCCTACTTCTGGCTTACCTCCACAATTGAAAATTTTCCGTACGGCAGTGGTGGAGAGAATCTTATTTGAGCGAAGATAATCGGCTAGCTGCCCTCCGAACAAAACGACGATGCCCATGACGGCATGTGGTAGGGCGGCGAGCATTCCAGACTGAAAAGAATTTAACCTGGATCCCTCAGGAGTATTGCTGTGCGATAGTAAAGGGAGCTAAGATGCTGAAGAGAAAAACTAATGAGTGTCCTTTGCTGAGGCTGAATTCAGCTTCTAACCATGAAATATGCCACTCGATGTTTCATTTTGATTTGTGCCCAAGGAATTTAAAGGAGGATTCCACGATAAGGTCAAAGGTCGAAAAAGGGGAAATTCACATGGTGGAAGACAGCCGGACCGGATAAGCAATTCACAGCGGAGGACTTTCCCCCGACGACCTAGCATGGCCGTACTCGCGGCGCTACCGACGCGGCACGCCCCGACTGGCTAACCACTCGCCGCAGGTCTCTCCGTTTAGCAGAGAGAGCGTTAGCGTTGAAGAGGGCAGCACCGATGAGAGTCGCATCAATGCGGAAATCAACGAGCAAGGAAAAGGTCCCATTTTTCGAGTTCTGGGCCTTTTATCATTCTTTCCCATGCCGACACCACTGATCACTTGTAGCTTGATGCTTATGGGCTTTCTTTAGATCGTAAACATCGCCTTCAAGGTGACAGAATCCCAAAAGGTACCAACCGAGTATTAATAGTGGGGATCAAAGATGGAACAGTAGGTACTATGCGAGAGAATAGAGCAGGAGCTGTTGGAGGGGCTTCATGGAAAAGCTCACCGGCGGCGCGGACGCGTTCGCGTGTTTGCGACACCTCTTTGACGTCAGGGGCCGTATGCTATGCTCCCCTCGTCAGTTCTCGGGGAGAGGCCACTCCCACCGATAGTAGCTTTATTATTAGTAGCTTTCCAAGCCTAAAACTAATGTCTGGCAAGATGCCAAGCTTCTTCGCGCCATGGATACTCTGCATGTCTGCATCCCCTGGGGAGCCCCGCGAGCATAGCATACGACCGCTTTCGGGGCAGCCGCAGTCCGGGGAGCTCTCCCCCAATGGGGAGCATAGCATACGACCCCAGAACAATGGCGAGGGAAAGGTAAAAGCTAGCGTTGCCGCCAATACTTCAAGACATTATGCACTACGAGCATTTACCATGGTCTAACATTACTACGTAACAAAGGGTGGTAAACAGGAATCAATCGAAGAGGGGTTTCACTGGAATCAACTTCACGTAGACTGTGCACTCATAAGTGCCCAGAAATTAAGCCACTGACTCTCCCTTTTTCAATACTGATCATGTGCTACTACAGTTGCAAAATACAGCATTTGGAAAACTCTACTACTCTAGGCAAGGAATGGTGTTGCGGTGAAATACCACCATCCGCCTGTGGAACCTTGTTGAAGCTAACACATACTTCGTTATTGCGAGCGAACATAAAGCACCTCTTTTACACCCCCTCCAAAAACATGACTCCTTGATACGACCCCTTTTTTTGTCCTCTGCACATCCGGTTTTATATCAAAAAATGCTAGTTTCAGATGTGCGAGAGGGACGCAGCGCCGCTGCCACGCAAATGCGGCTTGATCCAAATGCTAGATTCAATTCTGCTCAGATTAGGTTCTCCTTCTTTCCTTTGAAGGACATTTACCTTTTGCCACATCGGCCGGAAAGGTAAGGAGGTACTGCCCCTACACAGTTGAACAGTCTCGCGCTCCAGTATAGCGGCGCTAACTACCCGCGATCGCGTCGCGCGCTGTGCCTAGAGCGCGCTAGTTGGAAAAATCGTCAAATGTACCCCCTATTTAAAGGACTATAACTTTCTTCATTGATAACCATTTCAGAAAGTGAAGGCAGCTTTTGAATGCACAAGACTTCTAGTTTCTAAATTGTGCTGAGCGTTTTTCTAAGCACGCCTATTCTCGAGAGTGGGAGACGTCGAGGAAATTGTCGAGGAAATTGAAATTCACATGCGAGTTCCCACTCTTTGGAAAATCAGTAGCTGTCCTCATTGGCAATGCTTTAAAAATCGGAGCTGATTTAAAGCGCGTTGTTAAAAGCAGAGGATTTACTGACTTATTTGAGCAGCAGTGCCTCAGTTGTTCGAAACGGTTTTCTTGCTCGCCGAGCGAAATTTGCGCGAGGCATATGGGCTGAGAATAATTTTCGAGCCACTTCCGTGAAAACTGGTATTCCTCCCTCGCTCGTTTTAGCGGAAACTTTTATTGAACAACTTTACACAATCTTCTGTTAACACAACAGTTTCTATCGATGGAGTAAAAATTGAAAATGATGCACTTGGCGCGGATCCATTCCGTTCTTGTATGCGCCATGCAGTGACCCACTCGGAGTCATTGGGAAGGTGTTTTGTCCTAGTGACGACTTGCTTAATCACACCAAAAGATATTTCCAGTATTAACTAATTAGAATAACTCTTGTGGTCATAGTGATGTCTGATCACTCCTTTATTCAAATCGCTTCCTTTCCAACCCGTTCTGATGAATGACAGCTTGCGGTTGCAGGATCTGATGATGCCAAGAAGGCTGCGAATCTGCCTGTTTGAAACTTTCTACCAAGATGCTGTTCCTCCACTAAGTTCTCGAAGCATGTACATCATTCTAGAGTAGATACTCGCTGCCCTTTCCCTACGATTCTTTTGCAGGACGCGTTGCCTTCCTATGCCATACTGATCACTACGAACCAAACCAACAACCACTTTCCATTTAATTCCAGACAGGTGTAAGATATTATTTGCATTAGGCTAACTACAACACTTGTGAAACTAATGATGACAGCAAATAAGTGGCAGCAGCACCGTTGTGTCCGTTGATGAACCTTTTGATTACGACCCCCTCCCAACTCTCATCGGAGCAAATACGACCCCCTGTCGAGGATTTCCTCGACCGTTATTCACCCTGGTACGTAACACAATCATTTTGCTCTCATCACTATTGATTACATAGGTAAGTGAGGTGCCAGCAACCTCGCTACTGTTCGAACAAAGTATTAGCGGCATTGTCTCGTCCTTTCGTCGCCCTTGCCGCAGTTGTGACGTCACCAATACGCGCTCGCGTCCGCGCCGCCGCTGAGCTTTTCTCTCTCCCCTCTTATTGAAGACGCCGTAGCTACTCCCTCTCCATAGCTTCTTGGGACACTGTCAAAATCTCTGGTGTGTCCAAAAGACAGACTAGCATAGGGAGACGAGACAAGGCAGTAATGATAGATACACAGGAAGCTGCCTATGGAGTGGAGCCAAATGTTGTTGTTTCTGAGCGGCTTTTATCCCATTCATGGCACACCTCATTCGGCATCTAAGCAGCTTTTCAATAACTTTCACGAGAGAACGGTGAGATTAGCTTCTAAAGCAAAACGTACATCACTGATGTTCATGTCGAGCGCCTCCTTCATGTACGTCAGTTGATTCTGGAGAAGTAGGTAGAACGTCCAGCTCCTTGCAAAGTTCGCCACTATGATCGCCCACACAGGCTTCGATGTCACAATGGCTTTCCAGGGTATGTTATGGAACTGAAATATAAACTCTTTGTTCACAGCGTTAACAATAAGAAAACGTCAAGAAGAAAAGACTAACGGAAGGATGAGTGGCGGACACATGCCCGATGGCGTCTTCTATGTATTTCTTTTCATCTTGAGTTATCGTCGGATGGAAAGCGGGTTTCTCAAAAGTGAGCGAAAACCAGAACACAGACCAAACAACACCAGCGAATCCTAAAAATAATCTGTTGCGAACTTTGAAATACATATGTATGGAAAGAAGGAGCCGACCGTAGAGGTAGAATGGGGCACTCCATCCCACGTACGAGACCAGAAATGCCGACACAGGAAGTCCAAGCACCGCTCCAGCATAGGAACCGGTGAATGCGGTTGTGGCCAGCTTGGACCGCTCTAGTGGTGGAGCCCAATACCGCCAAACACCGTGCATCGACGGGTAGGCGACACCCTGAAGAGGTAACACTTTGTCTCAAAAGACCAAGTTCTTTGCCTTTACAAAACAAATTACCTGTACGAGTCCTTGAAGAATCTGTATCAATGCCACAAGTGTATCACTCTTCGATTTAAATCCGTATGGCAGAAGAAGATTTAGAAATGAAGCAACACCTATAGCGATTCCGAAAAGTCTGAAATGTAAAAATTTATGAATAATTGTTAATGGGGTGCTAACTTAGTTGGGGGGGGGCCACGCGGCGGCGCGGCAGTCTGCTCGCCTGGCATGTTCGGAAATCCGTGGGCCAGGGGGAGTGTAGGCAGTCTAGGGGGTGGGGGGGGGGGGGTGAGGGCAGTCACTTGACATGCGTGAAAAGCTGGAATGTTCGAGTTTACACTGTCTCGCTCGAGAGAGCCCAGGTGAGCAGACTGCCGCGCCGCCGCGTGGCCCCCCCCCCAACTAAGTTAGCACCGGGTACCCCCCAGGAGGCCCGTCGCGCGGCAAGAAGGCAGAGTCGCGGACGAGTCGCAGCGCGTGATGTGCGATGTAGGACGTGCAATGGGACATTCTATTTAACTTGACGCGAAATCCCTACAGTACGCGCGCGACTCGTCCGCTGACTCGCCTTCTTGTCGCGCGACGGGCCTCCTGGGGGTACCCACTTAGCACCGTTAATGGCTCAGAGGAAACGGCTTCAAGAAGTCTTCACTTACTTGTTCGGAGGATATTTGGCAGCTAGAAACCCGGCAGGGATTTGTGTGACGAGATAACCGTAGAAGAACGAACTCTCCATGACGCTCAATTCAGCACGAGTCCAGTTGAAGTCGTGAACCTGTAAATTTCTATTATGCTTACCACATCGAAGACGGCGCGCTGTTCTCGCGTTTTTGCTCGGCTTTCGGAACCCTTCCCGACAATCCGAAATATTTTTGGTTATTACTACTTCGCTAGTTAAAAAATTCTGCATTGATTGTTCCAATAGCTTTCACTTGACAAATCAATTTTTCTCTTTCATTATGATTAACCGATTCCGGACGCTCGCTCACCACCTCCGCCAAAATACCCCAAATCCAAAAAATCGAAACACCCGCTAGCCATATCTGATGGCCAGAAGAGCAAAGCCACAGGGACTCCATGGTCAATGTTGTGCTTAACAAGGATTTCGAGTCCACAGAACTGGTGTGATTTGCTAGCGATAGAGCTTAAAAACTCCGTAAAGGAACACCCTTGACTCCAGCGAGTTCCCTTGCCATCGAGGTGTTCCTATAGAATTTTGAAAATATTCGCGGATTCAAAAGGAAAGAAGATTTACCCCAATATGAAACGGTAATTGCAATCACTAGAGACAACGTACAAAGCTTCACGTAAAGATATAAAAAACATAAAAAACTACGAACACCACACCATCGGGACGGTTACGGGTAGGGCGGGCGGAGACAAGAGGAAGCATGGAAAGAAGTGCGCCTTGGGCCAAGTATCAACGCATTGAAATATCAGGCGCTCGAGTTTGGAGAAAGGAGACAAAACGTCGAAAAAATAAGATACAGTAGAAAAGAGAAATGCTATTGCCATAGGTGGAATTGGCCATAGGGCAAAAAAGCGTTCCTAGTGTAGGCGATCCGAGAACCTAGAGATTGTTTTCATCGCCAACATTTGTAACAGATGTCCGGCGGGACTTTGAACGCGAACGTTTGAACACGTCCTTTCGGTTTTTCGAATTCTTTACCAAAACGATCTTTCATTTTTTCATTCTTGTCGTTCTTATCGTGGATGATGGGTATCAAATCAGTTGTTTATGGACGAGATATCATGATTTTCCCGTGAACGATTTCTTCAATCATGCCGCGTCGCAGGGGTTGTGAGTATATTGAAAGCTTGTTGAGTAAAGGGTACAAATTGTTTGAACTTATGGTTAGTCACTTCCTGTAAATGCGTCTAGTCCATTTTACCTTTTCGTGTGTCACGATGTGGGCATATAATGCATTCCGAGTCTGTAGGCAAATATTTAGGCCATGTTACATCCAATTGGGTCGGCTGTTGGAAGCTCGACGTATTCACTTTCTTACGATGCCCTATCTTCTCAGCTCTATCAGGAAGAGTTAGCAAGTAGGGGCATGTGGAGGATAGCTGTTATACAGCCTTCATCCCTAAAATGATGCCGTTGTCGAAAGTCCTTCTAAAGACTCGGTGTTGGCGTGGACGAAATAGGAGTATCAGAGACGTGGCACGGTGCTTCTTTTATTCTGTCACCGTAATTCCGTGGAACCTAATAGAATAAGGCTAACTGTGGTGACATGAAACTGGGCACGATCTTCCACAAG